GTCTAGTAGCTACTTCAAACTATCGCCAGTCATGAAAAGATCCGATCAAATGATACGAGTTTAGATCTATGAACAAGGCACGAAAAGGAAAAGAATCGGCGACAGGCCACATCAGGCCTACATTTCAGCGCCGACATCATTATGTTATGTTATGTTATGTTATGTTAATATGAGTCGATTTTTCCCACTTAAAATTTAGAGCATGAAATGGAGCTGATCGTTGCCGGCTTTTGGGCCGACTTAGAGACGCAACAGAGGAGCGATAGAGAAGAAATGTCCGCATTAGAGACGATATCGCAAGCCACGTAGCAGCACTATTTAACCTCTGAGAACCTGCCCAGGTGTGCTCTGTCCTGCGGACACGCAGCCCTCACTGAACACTGCCGGCTCGAACCAGCCCAACGCCCGCTCTGGGGCGGCCCTGGTAGTGCGGTAGTTCCGCGTTACCGTTTGTCAACAACGATTAATTTTTTCCTTCTCTCGCCGGGATTACCGATGCTTCTCTCTTGCAATGGCAGGTTATAATGATATTGGTTGTTAACATACGCATCGTATACACACTAGCAACGTTAACTAAAGACTGACTGATACATTAGTAAGATCGTAGAAGCATTAAATAATTTACCGCTAGGTGCTCCCACTAGTACGTCGTACTAGTTCGAACGTCATACTAGTTCGAACGTCATACTAGTTCGAACGCCGTACTAGTTCGAACGTCGTACGTACTAGTTCCAACGCCGTACTAGTTCAAACGTCGTACTAGTTCGAGCGTTGTACTAGTTCGAACGCCGTACTAGTTCGAACGTCGAAATAGTTCGAACGTCGTATTAGTTCAAACGTCGTGCTAGTTCGAACGTCGTGCTATAGTTCGAACGTCGTACTAGTTCGAACGCCGTATTAGTTCGAACGTCGTACTAGTTCGAATGTCGAACTAATTCGAACGTCGTACTAGTTCGAAAGCTGTTTCAGTTCGAATGTGTGCCATCTGTCTGACCCGCATGCATCGCGAAGTCGGGGTAGGCGACAGTTATATAAGTACCGGCTTTTCAATAGTTTCTGAGAGCACGTTTGGAGGATATATTAAGCTTGGTATTTTGAAACTTGGATTTATATCTGATTTCTAGTTAAGAAGCGTTAATTGAAAACCGTCCTAACAATTAAATCCTGAATTTGAAAAATAGCAGACATTATTTTAGGAAATGTTACGGGATTGTAATAGTAGAAATCCAAATTTTAAAATGTCTGCTTAAATTTGAATAAGTATTACGCGATTATAACCATCGGAACTTATAGATTGTTATATAATCGAAAAAATAAATCTTGTAACTTTTTCTACGCAAAGACCGACAATGACTCCTCGGAGCAACTCTTGAGTTATTCGCGGTCGAGTAAGTTATCGATATTCACAATTTTTTTAAATTTAGTTTTCAGTATTGAGATGCTAACAAAACCATATAATTCATTTTTCTATTTTCTTATTAGCTCTTCTTTGTATTCCCTAATATAATGGAGCATTTTGATGCTGTTTTTTTTGTCTTCTTAACAATTGTTAAGTAACATTTTATTTCTCATGCTCGGACGCTGGAACAGTGAGAAGAATTGTCGTCAATGCTAGGTGGGTTAAAATGACAAGATGGCTTTGAAGTTTCATGCTACAATTCGTTTGACGTTCTAACTTATAATCTCCATAATATCTTATCCTATGTAAACATTTGGTTTTTATAATCGTATAATTTGAATTTATTGTATCGTTGACTTGCGTCTCTCCATCGCGAAGACAAGTCTAGGAATGAAGGCGCAGTTTCTTTCGTTCATTTTACATTTTTTCGAACGAAATTCTCCATTTTTCTTCGGGAATTTGCAATATTTCAATTTGATTAGAAGATTGAGAATATTTACTGATCATACGTTTTTTATCACATTAACTTGTAAAAATTTAATGATTTCTTTCGAGGATTGATTATGAGCTTGTCAAAGTTCTCGAACAGTACGCAATAATATAAGAGCTCACTGTTTATAAGAAGCGTCTTCAGAGGCATACGACATGGATTACTGATCGAAAGGCTCTTAACATGACTGAACTCAAGCGACATATGTTCACTGAGGAGACAAACGACAAAAATCCGAAGACGACGAGCATTTACAAAGATAATCAAATGATATTCATGTTAATCCTTCAAGACGTTATACCTAACGACGATGATTATTTTTTTATGCTCATTCACAATGGACATAACGCACATACACGACTAACGCAATCGAGTTCTTGTCGAGAACCTCCATCTATTAGAACCTCATTTCTGCATGAAAACTTTATCACCTGGCCTTGCAATGTGTTGAACATCACCCTCTTGCGGATGTTGCTGACGCCCAACTGGTAGAAATGGATGTTGTGGCCGCGCGTGTGGTCCTTCACATCCATGCTCGGGTCGAACGCGTACACCTGGGCCACGTCGTGGGATTTTCAATCTAGTATTTGTGCTCATATGTAACCAATAATTTCTCATTACTTTGTATATCGAAATATCACCCGAATAAAAAATAGAATTTCTAACGGCGGGTTAAAACTGAGAAGCGGGGTAGGTTGGGAATTGAATTGCATGGATCGCAAAATTTTATGTAATTTTTTCTTTGATATTTGGCATCAATTGGCGGCGCTCCATGGCATCATAGCCCCTCACCGTGCAGCCGCGACGCTCCATGGCGTCATCATAACCCCTCACCGTGCAGCCGCGGCGCTCCATGGCGTCATCGAAGCTCCACTCGTTGTTGATGCCAAAGGAGAGAACCGTGCAGGCTCCAGGCTGGAGCTCAAAGCCGGCGTCTAAACACAAAGATTTGGAGCCGTCCGAGGAACTGCCGCTCGGACCTCCCACCTTCAGCTGTTACAACAAAAAGGCTGCAGTTAGAGCACTGATAGGTGCTGTTATTGCACTGTTGTTGCACTGTTATTGTACAGAAACTGTGACCTATTACGACTCTGTTATTTTACTGCTATTGAACCGCCACTTCGCTGTTTATCAAGAATATAAAAACAATAAAGTGACATTAAAATCTGACTTATCTTTTTAAAAGGAATATTCTCGGATTCCAGCTCAATCAATCTGTTCGGCAATCATAGAGTGCAAATACAATCAATTGGTGAACTAAAATTCACAAGTAGACATTGAAAGCTAAATTGACCAATAAAATACGTATTTATTTGAAAAGAGTCATAGGCTGACAGGCCTATCAATTTAATTTTTTTGGAGAATAGAAGAACTGAGCGCGGCTTTCAATTAAACGAGGCTAGTGTTTGAAAATATATAGGGACAGAAAATTTCGTAGGTCTTAATCACTGTTTATGGAGGCCAAGTTTTAAAATGCACATAAATTTAAAATAGAAGCCTATTTCAAGCGCCGCACTCACCTCTAATTATCTAAAAATTGTAAATAGGGAAGACTGTCTGCATGTTAGTGGATAATATAAAGTAGACTTACATTTTATTATTAAATTTAGATTGCACTGACTGCCTGTGAATTTTCTTACTAATTGATTGCACATATGTATGTACATTCTAGTATTTTCGAACTGACGATGGAGCTTGACTACGAAACTTTTTCTTACATAGAGATTTAGTGATTTTTGCCATTTTCTTTGCTTCAAATTCCCGATTAACTTGTGATTCAAGCATTCGGATGATCTTAGTACTCACTGTTGTTCAACACAGGGTAATTTTATTTCACTGCAGCTGTCTTCACAACTATTGAAACGCTTTTTATATGCAGCTATATGTGTCTAAGCTGTTACTACGCTCTTTATGTGTGGCGACCTTCTGTTTCTAAGATGTTACTTTTCCGTTTATTTCTTAAGAAGTACAGAGCCAGTCAACGAGGTCCCCACACTGACTTATCACTTACCGCACAACCACCACGCAATGAAGTTCAAGATAAGACAGCATCAAGCTGTTGGTACAGATTTTACAAAGCAGTTAGTCCTCATGTCAAGTATAAGACTTACTGATCCACGCCCATGATGATGGATATCCACCGTCGTCCTCCGTCCCCAAACCGTCGAAGGGCAGCTCGCCCGCCACCGGGGCACGAAGGTAACGCTGAAGCATGCAACCATTTGAGGAAACCGTTTGCCCTCAATTGAACCAACTGATGCAAAATACTGTAGCTTGCTACTTTCCGAGGGTAGTGATGCATAACCGGGTGATCATGGATCTTGCTAAAAAACGCATTCGGTCGTTTCTTCAATGTCGCAAGGGTGAACTCCCACCTTCGCAGTTTATTCGGCAAGGCATTAAGCAGCCTCGATCGGTACTGTTACGGAGAGAGATCCCTGCTGCAGAGTCTGTATTCTGTCCCAGCTCGGTTGATTAATTGGGTTACCCTGCATGGTCTGCCCCTCTTTTCGTTGTGATATGTCGCTATCCTGAAGGTCTGACTTCCAAAGTTTAGAGCCAGTCTGGTTATTATTTACCAAGTGTACAGTATGATATATCTCTCGTCTCCTCTCTGTTGAGTACAGTCCCAGAAACAACATGTCCTAGCAGTCCTGTTCCCTCATCCCGCTGACCCTGTAATTGAGAGTCCGTATGTTGAACGGCCTCCAATTGCCACACCGCGCCCGTTAGCAGAGACGTCCATAGGTGACAACAGAACTCAAGAATGGGTAGACTGCGGGCCATGATAAGTTTAATCAATGCCTCCGCGTCTCATGTTCGAAATGTCCACCAGAACCACCCCATTTGTTCTCTGCCTTTCGCATTTATTGCCGCGATGTGGAAGTCAAACGTTGCTTCAGTATTCTTTACCGCACCGACATTGTAAACAAGTTGCTTCTCCCCGATTTCTGTGCCCTCTGATGCCAAGTAACCCTGCAGCATCCCGGCCTATTCGCTAAAGCGGTATTTAATTACTTCAAACTCGGAGCCGGTGAATTGCATAATATTCAGTAGGGCCCAATCGTAGATTATCGACAAGTTATCTTGCAACCTCTCGCAGGCCAGGTTGTCTGTGATTCTCATCACCACTGCTGTATCGTAAAAAACTGACGATATAGATGAGTGGGTAAGTACTGAGTCGATGTCGGTGATGTTGATGAGGAAACGGAACGGGCCAAACGCCGAGCCCTGTGGCACACCGCTTCTCATCCTTGCTTCCTTCGATTTCGAGTCTCCAATTTCGACTGCTTGTTCTCTGTCCGTAAGGAAGTTGTGGATAAATGCTAACAGGCTTCCTCCAACCCCTAGCTGTCGCCTTAGTTTTTTTGAAGAGCACCCTATGGTCGGCTTGGTTAAAATCTTCTTCGGAGTCCAAGTACACTACGTCTCCGCTATAGCTACCTGGCCACTACTCTCTCAAACACTTTGACCACTCACCTGTAAGGTCAAGGTGACTGGTCTGTAATTTTGGGGTTAGACTCTTGGACATGCTACGTAAATTGGCGTTTTCACTCCCTTTTTGAAGACCTCAGAAATAGTTCCTCCATCAACGAGGCCTTTCAGTCTCACAACTACACCGTCTTTAACCACTAAATCTCACCATCACACTAAAATCTCACGATCACTATTTGTATGGTTACAGCCTTACCAGCTTCTTGCAAGGCTGTATCTCCTCCAAAAAGGCGTAGAATTGTTCCCAGCTGCTGGGGGGACCGGGCGTTGTTATTGGAGCAGGGGGCGCTGCTCGTGCCAAAATGGGGAAGAGGGTGCGATCAGCAACAGCTTTGTAGCATGTCGTTACGAGTGTTCAATAAATTAAGGAGGGGCTTTAATAATCTGAAATTCCATTCAATAGCAAGTATAAAACATCCGGTCAAAATTTTGATGAGCAACACCTTTATTATTTTTTGTGGGGGGGCAGTGACGAGTGTACAGCAGGCAACAAGCAGGGCTGCCTTGTTAGCCAACATATAATGAATAGTGTTGGACACCTCCTCTGATCGGAAAAGGAAACCTTGGGAAATAACGAGTTTTAACCCGTTAGCGTCTAGCTGTACATATCTGCTACCTTTCATAAGGGCGACGGCGGTTTACATTTTAAGTACATTCGTCCAATTGGACTAATACATTGGCTTTAATAGCAGGCTGCGCTATGCCTAATTGAAAGCTGATGTCACCAGTCAGGATTTTTTAATTAATAAATTTCAACGATGCGGTATGGATGAAATATAATATTTTGCACTCGCAAGGTAGCTGCTCGCTTAGGGGTTAAATTCTATGAATCTCCCTAATGTGTCAAAAGCTGGCAGCATTAGTTGACAAAAATGGTTGTCTCTTAAATTTCCATGATTTCCGAAACATTAAAATTTATTTTATAATGTGAATAACTCCAAAAGTTTTAATAATTTAAACAGGAACTTTTAACGTTTGCTGGAATTTTGAATTTTTAATCATCGCTCGAAAAAAATAACGCAGTACAATTACTCGCCTTTTTACGCCATGAATTAAAATTCAATGTAGCATAATAAGTAACAAAATTTACGCATGATTGAACGCTAAACTTTTAGCTTTTAATTCAACACATACGAGTAAAAAAAACTCCCCATGAACATTCGTATTTTTTGAATTCATTATTCCCTTTCGCGATTTTGACATTTCAACTGCCTTAATTTGAATGTTTTATGTCTGAGTTGTATTTGAATGATACACGTTGTGCGTGCATGCAACTCGTCGACCTACTGTACTCTTTTATTCGTCTACTTGTCTACTTTTCTTTCTTTTATTCGTCTACTATTCGTCTACTTTTATTCGCCTACTCGTTTATTCGTGTCGCATTTCAACGATTCATTCCAGGGACCAAATTTATTTTGTATTTATGAATCAAGAGTCATTGCGAAACACAGAAAAGGGAACAAGGCATAACGATTGTTTTTAATTTATTAGTTTAACATTCATTAAATAAAACTTGGAATTTCCTTAAACTTTGGAACGGACGATAAACTAGAGTTTTATGTTGCATGTGGGACTGGTACGAGTGTTCATCACATAAATTTTATTTATGCTCGAGAATTCGCAACGAGATTGGTGATAACGGGATTTGATATCTCGAAATTGGAGGTAACGACATTTTTAAATCACGGAAAAATGACCCAATATGGCTGATATTAATGCAAGTGCTTATATAATTGAATATTATACTCGGTGATTCACACTGCACGAACACTTCTCCAAATACTCATGTTTGCGTGTCAGGGCAGCCGGTCATCTGACCTGCTTTATTTATTCAGTGGTTGGGAAGGTCGACATGCTACTCACCGGCCAGTGGAGAGGGAGGTCGGTGTACCCTCTGGGGAAGAGGTGGGGAGGGGACCAAATATCTGGGGAGTTAAATGTTAAAAATTAGCTGCATATACTTCATTATATTCTTTACACCTGCTATCGCCGGTAATTAGTCTGCGAATTTACTGCCATTACCTGCTCCAATTATTCAATGCTTCTATTCTTATTATTCTATACGCGATTATCTGAGATAATTTACAGAACACGCTACAAATAAATTAGATAAAGATTTCATTTTTGAAAAGGCGGATCATGTCTTGTGAGAATTACATTCAATCTGAGATAAAGATGTTCATGGACTTGATATTTTACCGGAGTCTGTCAGTCTCTGTTTGGATAGACTAACCCAGTCTCTGTTTGATGTTTGGATAAACTCACCCAGTCTCTGTCTGGATGGACTCACCCAGTCTCTGCACGGATGGACTCACCCAGTTTCCGGACGTATGGATTCATCCAGTCTCTGTGTGGATGGACTCATTCATTCTCTGAATGGATGGACTTATCCAGTATCTCTTTGGATAAACTCACCCGGTCTCTGCAGTGATGGACTCACCCAGTCTCTGCACTAATGGACTCCCCAGTCTCTGTACGGATGGACTCACCCAGTCTCTGCACTGATGGACTCCCCAGTCTCTGTACTGATGGACTCACCCAGTCTCTGTACGGATGGACTTACCCAGTCTCTGTACTGATGGACTCACCCGGTCTCTGCACTGATTGACTCACCCAGTCTCTGCACTGATGGACTCACCCAGTCTCTGTACTGATGGACTCACCCAGTCTCTGCACTGATGGACTCACCCAGTCTCTGCACTGATGGACTCACCCAGTCTCTGCACTGATGACTCACCCAGTCTCTGCACTGATGACTCACCCAGTCTCTGTTTGGATGGACTCACCCAGTCTCTGTTTGGATGACGGTGGTGACCAGGAATGCCAGTCCCAGCGCGGCGATGAAGATAAGCCATGCATGGCTGCTCCTCATCCTTATCAGCGATTATGGGCGCGATATCGGCGGCCGGATGCTAGTCATAAATAGATTCTACAATGGCTAATTAAGAACAAACACAGTTATTTGTTATTTAAAAATATTTCTAACGCAGCCCGACGCGCATAAAATTGACCAAGAAGTTTGAAAGGAATCAACGACATTTTCACTTGATTCTAGTTTAGCTAAAATATAATTTGGATAATAGAATTTTATGGAATTTTTATTCCTGTAAAATAATTCTTCTGCATGCTTTTTTGCAAGGAAATAAATTGTTAACATAAAATGGTCTCATAATTGAATACCAGAGTTTCTTTGATTATATTATCCATGATTCTTCCGTCGGTCTGTAGACGCGCTAAGAATTAACTTGCAAACACTTCTTTCATTTTGGTCCATCTGAAACCATCACTGGCACTCTGGATGACTGTTCCTACAGAAGGAACACTCGTTTGCAATCAGGGACTTTTTAATGAAATACAGTTTCATCTTGCTGTTTGATTCTCCAGTGTTGAAGGAATACTTCAATACAATTCATCAATATTGCTCTAACTCCATCTGTCATCACTCATCGTTTGATATTCGCATGTTTAAGTATAATTTGCACTAAATGCTGTTTGTTTCCTTTATAATAATTTTATTTGTCAATCCTAATGCATTGATTGATCCATACCATTTATCTACCCACTAATAAGAACATATGCATACTTTCTTTTCATGAACATTGGTCCATAATCCCACACCATTGAACAGAAAATTTGCAGAACCTTCATACCGATGTTATATTTCACTAATGTATTTCCGATATTTCAAACAGAGAAATGACTGCCACATTGTTTATCTCTATCACAAAACCACGACGAGCTTTTGTTACCCAAGCACGAGTAGAGAAAGGACGTAACTGAGCCAAACTGAGTCCTAAATGTCCCACAAAAGAGCATGTTTTATTAAAAATTTTCATGCTTTTTCTTTATTTTGCCAACGACACACAAATTCCTGGGCGAGTATAAACGTTCAGAGCGCCACTCTCATAGCACTGCACGCGCACGCCGCCCCAAGGCTTCTGCAATATTGCGCTCAATCGATGCTAGAAGTTCAACATACAATTTTGTTTTCAACAATCCATTCGATCACTTATCAATTGGAAGTGCATAAGTTATGCTCGTTCTTTAAATTGCTCGTTCGTCAGTAAATAGCTTCAATGTAAAGTTCGTAACGGTCAATAAAGTATTGACTGCTAGATTTGTATCAGTTAATTAAGCAAGGACTGCTACATTTGTATATCAGTAGATGTTTTCTGAAGTCTTGTAATTGAACAAGCCTATCTAGGCGGTCACTGCATGTTTGCAGCATAACTAAAGAAATACTAACTGGTATATTCATACATGGAGTTACCATGGAAAAATAATTTTATATATAATATTTTAGTAGTAAAAAAACTAATTCCGCTAAGGAATGCGATACATTTACCGAACTCATAATCATGTTTCACACAAATTTAATTATGCTCATTCATTTAATTCAGTCATATATAAACAGTTCATTTCAACTAACGTCGTATTGGGCTTCCTCACACACTGCCATAATATTCACCAAAACGGAATACAAAAGAATGGAAGTTCAGTTCACAGTTGGAAGAATTTATGCTTTTGTTGCATGGCCCTAAACAGTTACTTAGATTAGATTAGATATTCTCTCTTGCTGGCGAATATCTGATACCTCTTGGTGGTACCTCCGTTTAGTATCAAATATTCGCCAACTGAGTTTGCCTTAATACAGGTAGGAAAAATATGTAGTGGAAGATTATTACGACATTTGTTAAATTCAGGTATGATTAGCGTCATTGTATGTTCATGCATTTGTTCTCTTGAAAAAAAAGTGGAATAATAATTGCGATCAGAATTTAAATTCAATACTTTAATACAACGAGTTCGTGCGTGAAGTTTATTATACTGGTTGGAACAGAAAACGATAAATCATCGATTATTTTTTTAGAAGAGGTGCCGAAATTACAGGTGGAATATCATCATATTGAGATCACCGTTGATGGAACACGAGATCATCAAATAAATATATGTAGGACAACACTAGATCACTGATTATATAGTCGGGAAATCAAAATTCATACATGTTTTAGTTTTGGAAATGCGTCAAATTTCGTTCAAAATTACAAATTCAATTCTCAATTAGCACCGTCACGCATGTAATTCACGCAATTTTAATTTACAATTACAAAATTCAATCATTGATCAAATTTTCCCCCTAATTCTGAACCACACGATTAACACTTGATCACGAATTCCTAGACGCACCTCCAAATAAGAACAGTTTTAAGACACCCGACCTCCGCACAACTCCACAACATAATGAAGAAAAAACGTGCATTGGAAAGGCTACCAAATCTCCCGGAAGTGCTGCACCCAATTTCCTGGTCGCGCCATGAACATATTTTATGCATCGATGGTGAGCTTCATCGACTTTCTCTATTGACATACGCCCTGTGAGTGATGCATGTCAAATGGCAGTCCATTGTGAACATTAGCGATCAAGTAAATATTCCTTTTTATGTGATTTCTTTTGTATCTATTTTTTTTCTCCACAAATAAATATAGATAGAGAAGTAATTTTGTTTCAGCATTGATATTTGAAACTTAAGGGTTTTGGATCATTATTCGTTTCTAAGTATTTTGATCCAAATTGTATTTTGATCCCAGATAATTTGCAGGCCGAATAGTGAAAAAACATTCGATGAAAATATAGCATTTTGAGCATATAAGCTTGCATGGCTGTATTGATTTTCTTAATCTGAACCTTCACGGGGATCTGGCGTCATTTGCTTTGCATTGATTGCATAATTATGATAAATTTGAGCTTAAAAATCCAGTTACGGAAGCTAATTCAGCTATATACTGTAAGTGCCGGAGAATAAAAGCCTATGCAATTCATGACTAATTCCAGAATAAATAAATCTACGAGTTTCACTATTGAGATTTAGTTACCACTAGCAACAAACTTCATGTAACACATCCACATGACTTTTTCATCGGCATAAACATTCCTGTTTACTTCCGCTCTGATTTTCGAGTATTTTGAATATTTGAGTAGAATAGTCATGGTAGAAAAGTGCGCACAAATTAATCATACCAAAGTTTTGATGTTCCAGAATTTTACAATGATATATTATTCACGAGTTGTATAAGTATTGAACTGAAGCGGAATGGCATGATGGTGGAGCGGAAAATGACATGTAACCAAGAACAATATACTTTACAGGGTTGCACAGTTTAGAATTTATGGATAAAACCATCAAAATAAACTCAGTCGATTACAATGAGCTTATAAATTCAATTCAGTATCATGTATGCCATTAATTATTTCCAGTCTTAAACTTCATCTCGAGCGTTAAGTAAATAAGAGTCGTACGAAGAAATATTCATCATCATAATAAATGATACATGATTTAGGATTAAACGTGTTAACAGAAATAAAAAAAAATTTTATTTCTGCATTAGAACTAGTTGAACTTGACCTTAGCCAAATCAGCCAAACTAGTCTGGTTTTGTTTTGTGCCGTTGTTGTTCCCGACACGTTCTCGTGTAAATAGCCACACGGGTATACAGTGAATATTAGGTCTTAAGATAGCGATACATTCACCAAGCGTCATTGTGGAAAAATTTTAAAGGCATTTAAATTGTAAGATTTCTGAATTGCTATTTTTTATCAATTAAATATTCATGTTCAACTGAATTCCTAGATAGATATTTATTATTGTCATTTACTTATTTTAAGAGTCACTGTAATAGTCTGAAACTTATTTCCAAGTCTCCGCAACAGTCGCCGCTAAACTCATTCTCAGTTATGTTCAGTTGTTCAAACCCACAAATAAAGATAGTTGGAAAACCGTGTTCTAACTATGGCTAAAGGAATGACCATTGCGGCCCAGCCAAACTAAACCAATTAACAAGCAAACTTTTGTTGCTGTTGTACAGTGGCCAGAAAGAGTGAAAGAGAACAAGAGGTGGCTCAGAGTTGCCAGAAAGAGAAAGGAGGACTGGGAAAGACAGTGTGAGATTAGAGAGGGGCATTACGCATGATTGGGTGGGTTGTAGGTGAGTGAAGTATGTTTGGGGTTGGGAGGAGTTAGGGTTGGGAATACGTCAGAGCTTTTGATGGTTTGCGGGTGGGTGATGAGAAGATGGTTGCTCTTTATCTACATTATTTGAACATTGTTGAACAGTAAAAAACTATTATTATTATTTTGATTATTATTATTAGTATCATTATTATTATTATTGTTATTGTTTAGGAGTGTTCAGAGTGTTCATTATTTGAACACTGTTAAACAGTAATAAACATGTTTTCGGGCTTGTAGTATTTACATGCATTTTCATTTTCAGAGAGATTATATGGTGACGATAAAGGTGGTAATACTGGTGATGATGATGATGAGGAGGATGGGGAATCGCTCGAGACTTAGAAGAGAAGGTGAATTTTGTCAGGTGTTGCTGGGCTTTCAATAGTTCATCGGTCTCGTCTTTACCGTGTGTCACTCTCAGTGAGTTGCGTCAGTCCGTCGGCGTGGTAGTGCATTGGCTGATGCAGGTTGTTATGGGACCAGCTACACTCAAACGCGATAGGAACAACTGCGTACGGTTATAGCATGGTCCGCTGTGTGGTTATTTTTACAGAAATAGAGGTTCGAGACATAGTGAATGTAATTTGGAGCTTTTGAATAACCGGCGCTACCTTGCTGTGGCGTCTGGGAGAAATGTGAGTTGGTTGAAGAGTTGGGGATCATATGTTCTAAGATGTCAATGGACCAAGTTTTGCGTGCTTGATGGTGAAGGTCGATGTTTAAGGGGAGCGTCTGGCGAAAAATTTTGAGTTTTGGCTTTTCTGGTTTTTAGTCTCATCTTAATTAAAGCTGACATTCTGACAAATCCAACGGTACCAAAAGTCGTAGCTTTTTTTCAATTTCGTTTTAGTTTTTAAAATATTTTGAAAAAAGGGAGGGGAAAGGAAAAATCGAAAAATTTACCGACAAATTTATCGGAAAATTTAAAAAAATGCCCCCCCACCCATAAAAATTCGAATTTCAAAAAAAAAGCTACGAGCAATCGATAGATATGATCTTTACGCATCGAATGATATGAGTCTCGATGTTGTAGCTTGAAAATCCTAGGAGGAGATAGATTTCTACATTACCCCCTTTTTTGGCCGTTTTCTAATATATTCAC